AGTCAAGAATGGTCTCTTTACATTTATGTCCCAGAGAATGATATGAATGAATTTCTACAAGTAGCAAACACTTTGAGTTAAGTAATCAGAAAATCCAAGGAGAGAGGTGATGGAAAAGATGTTATCTTTGGATCAGACAAAAACAAAATAAAAACAAGTTTTCTGTGCACTGAGACAGGGATAGAAAACACAGAGCAGGCATAATTAGTTGATACCTCCAAAAGTTCAAAGAAGCATTTGAAATTATCCTTGGAAGGTACAGGAGGTAGACAACAGCAATTTTACTTGTGGAAACGGAGTCCATACCATATTGAATCACACTGGAAACATGCAATGGTTATTGTACTAAGGAAGAATGCTCCCACCCCTCCCGCCCGGAAAGGACACCTGCTTAAATATTAATTTTCCCTAGAGTGAGACAGATGACTCAAAACAGAATATATTATTGTACATTAAATTAAAAGGATTCAACAGGCTATATCAGAGGTGGGCAAACTATGGACACTCCTGTCTGGCCCCTGAGCTCCTGGGAGACTCGCCCCCAGCCCCTCCCCTGCTGTTCCCCCTCCCCCGCAGCCTCAGCTCGCCCTGCCGCCGGCGCAACACTCTGGACACGCAGCTGCAGAGCCGGGGCAGCGCAGCTGCAGAGCCAGGGCCTGACCCGCTGCTCTGTGCTGTGCTGGCTCCCACCGGGAGGCATGGCTGTAGCGCTGCCAGCCACCGGTGCTCCAGGCAGCTCAGTAAGGGGGTGGGGAGCGGGTGGATAGAGGGCAGGGGAGTTCGGGGTGGTGGTCAGGGGGCGGGGGTGTGGATAGAGGGCGGGGTGGTCAGAGGGCGGGGAACAGGGATTGAATGGGGGCAGGGGTCCTGGGGGAGCAGTCAGGAATGAGAGGAGGGTTTGGATGGGGTGGCAGGGGGTAGTCAGGGGCAGAGGTTCCGGGGGCTGTCAGGGGACAGGGAATGCGGGGGTTGGATGAGGCAAGAGTCCCGGGGGGGCCATCAGGGGGCGAGAAGCAGGAGAGGTTGGATAGGGGGTGGGGCCAAGCCATGTCTGGCTGTTTGGGGAGGCACAGCCTCCCCTAACTGGCCCTCCATACAATTTTGGAAACCCAATGCTGCCCTCAGGCCAAAAAGTTTGCCCACCCTTGGGCTATATGATGAGCCAAGCAGAGCTAAGGGAGAACTTGACAGTAGGGCTACGTCTACACTTCGAGTTGGGAGTGTGATCCCTCACTCAAAGAGACATACATTTGCTAGCTCTCATCAAGTTGGCATATGAAAAACAGAATGTAGTCGCAGCAGTGTGAGTGGCAGAAGGGACTAGCCACCGAGAGTAGGTGCCTACGGTCTCAGATAAGCACATACTCGGGGCAGCTTAGCCTGTCCTACAGCTCATACTGCCATGGCTATCTTTATTTTTAGCATGTCTCCTCTGATGTATTAATAGAGAGCAATCATATTTCCCCTCAGCCTTCATTTGATTAAGTTAAACAAGCCATGCTCCTTGAGTCTCCTCTCCTAAGGTCTCCTCTCCATTCCTCTAATCATCCTACTAGTCTTTCTATGCACCAATTCTGCAACAAAAATTCTGCACCAAAATATTATAAATTCTGCACCAAATGTGGCCCAGGAGCCCCCTTCCCCCTCCCCATGTGCCCCTGAAGCCCCCCTACCTGCTGTCCCAACATGGCCCTGCCACCCCCCATCCCCATGTGACCCTGGAGCCCCCTCCCATTCAGCCCCGGCTCAGTGCTGTCAACCCACTAGCTCCTAACCTGCTCCCCAGTCTGTCCCCCCACTAGCCCTTCTGAACCCCAGTCTGTGACTCCTTAGCAGCCCTGTGTGCCCCACTCTGCCTCCATAGGCAGGCTGCTGTGATGAAGACAGCTGGCTGCTAGCTGTTACTGCCAGTCAGCCAGCTGTTCTGGTGCCACTGCAGCCTCTGCTGGGTGAAAGGTGGAACTGAAGCACTTCTTGGGCAGAATGTATTTTCTGCAGAAAAAAAATTTCTGTACTGGACATGAATTCTGCATGTGCGCAGAGGCGCAGAATGCCCCCAGGAGTATAAGATGCTTAGGATTCAAGCAGGTAGTTATTGTGATCTGAGAAAGACGAATTTGATTTTTGGAATGAAAGCAAAATTGGTCTTCAGAACTACTTTATCATGATGGAAAATGAAGTATTTACTCCTGGGGGAATTCTGCACCCCTGCAGATGTGCAGAATTCATGTCCCCTGCAGATTTCTTTGCTTCCCCACAGAAAAATGACTTTCTGACATGAAAGCAACAAGAGCAGTCATGCGACTCTCCCCAGCAGTATGTTTTGGGTGCCCAGGGCAGCTGGCAGAGAGGTAAATCACTGTAGGGCAGGAGGCAGGACTGGGGAAGACCTGGCTGGTGGCTCCCACCCTGTGCCATGCTCAGCTGCTAGTCCTGGCTGGGCTTGAAAGGACTTCCTCTTCCCCTGCACGACATCTGGGGCCGGGTCAGACCCACCCCCAGATTTCACCCCAGGCTGCACAAAGCTCTGCAAACACCTCCTCTCCCCCTGCTTCCTGCACCTATCACTCTTCAGCTGCAGGGGAAGGGATCACTGTATGGGGAGCTTCTCCCCCACCTGCCTAACCCCCATGCATCCACCCTGCCACCAAGGCTCACCCCCCCGCACCCAGAACCCCCCCTGCCAAGCCCCACTCCCCCTGCACCTGGACCACCCCAATGAGCCACCTGCACCAGATCCCCACCCCACTGAGCCCCAACCAGCTGTACTCACCCTACTGAGCCCCACTCCCCTACCACTGAACCCCCCCACACCCAGACCCCCCTGCCAAGCTCTATCCCCCCCACACCCAGACCTCCCCCAAGTGAGCCCCAACCACCTTCACCTAGACCTCTACTGCAGAGTCCCATTACCATTGCACCCAGAACCCCCCGACAAGCAACTGTGTATCCAGATTTCCCCCTGCACCCAGATCCACCCTGAGCTGCCCGCACCCAGATTGCCCCCCACACAACCCTCTCTACCCACACCTGGATCCCCCCACACTAAGCCCCTCCACTCTTGGATCCTGCCAGGTTGAGCCTGCCTGCCCACACCTAGTGCACCTGGCACAGAGGGGTAGGGCCCTGGGTTGTTTCTGGGACAGGCACGGTCCTTGTGCTGTGTCAGGGTTGGGTGCAGCCTCACCGCTGAGTCCGTGTCCTGGGGGGAGGAGGGGGGGGGGAGCTGCAGAGTGATCTCCCACCTCTGTGTAGCCAGTGGCCTGTGGCCCCCAATGCCATGCTGGAGCCTCCACATTTATTTGACAAATAAAATTTGCAGAATTTTGCAGAATTTTAAAATATTGTGTGCAGAATTTTTAGGCACATCATTTTTTATTTTTTTGGCGCAGAATGCCCTCAGGAGTAAGTATTGTAGCTCAATGGGCAATGATCTTGTCTCCAGTGCTATCTGAACTGACATTATAGCTTTGAGACTAAAGATGGATTTTAGGTCCTGACTGTTTTTGAGACAACAAAAAATGTTTGAGTACACTGTATGGGATTGCTTCTCTTTCTGTAGTGCTTGTGAGATGTCTTTGTTGACTTCCTGAGTTTTTTTGGATTCCTTGATTTCAAAGATATCAAATATTTCCTTTTGTAGTATCACGTCAGCCTATCAAATATATATGTATTTGTCTTGATTTGTCCCTAGAACCCACACATCTAAGGCAGTCTTTTTCAAACATATGCAAATCTCTGCAGTCTCTCTCTGCCATCTTGGGTCCTTGTGGTTACATACTCCAAGGGAAGACAGATGGTTTTACTGCCACCTCCCTTCCTTGGAATTTTCCAGTGAATGGAACTGCTTTAAATTACAGTTGGGATTCCACAGAAGCACTACTAGTGGCAGCTGCTGAGAGAAAACATTTAATCAAAGCATACATAGATGACATTGGTCATGTCGGTTCCGGGCCAGCACCTCCCCTTTTTTTTGGTAGGGATGATACACTATGTTTCCTGTTGCAAAGGGGAAGTCAATCCCAGGCTAAATCGGATCCATTGCCTTATAAGGCCACATACAAGATATAATAGTAAAATATGAACAATGGAGTTTGAAATTCAAAGTATTTTATCAGATTTAATCAATTTGGGAGAAAATAATCCAAAAGATTGTGCAGGTGATAAATTTCAAAACAACTATATTATACTTTGTTTTTAGTATTAATATTTGCAACTTTACCATTGTCTTTTGGAACATTTTGGCTAACTTGTATCTGGAAACTTCAGAACAAACTAAACAGAAGTTCAATTCTGATCTCATTAGAAGTCGAATTTTAAAGATTAATAAACAAGAATACAGTGTTTTAAGGAATATATCAGGACCATCTCTTGCAGTCTTTTAAACCTTTTTTCTTTTTTTGAGGAAATTCAAAGTTTAATGCAAATTATCTATAAATCAAGAAACAATCCTGATACTTCTATAATTTTTTTAGCAAAGTACTTAACACATTGTGGGAAAGAACTCACACCCAAACCTTTTTCTAACAAAGTACGGTGTAAATCTAGCCTGATTTGTCCCCAATGACAGGAATAGAACACAGGTCTCCTGATGCCCACTCTGATGCCCAGTACACTACATTGTATCACACAGCTTCTCCTTACAATACCCGTTTAAAATACCAATGGGGGAGAAAAAAAACCCATATGCAAAGATACCATCTCCATGCAAGAATAACAGTATCTATTTAGTGGGTCAGAATGGCAAATAAGTCTTTTATATTAAAAAGCACATAAATAAGCATCCCACACTCCTTTAAAAAAGCAAAAGACAACGTTACTCCCTTTTGCTGCAAAATGTATGCATACTAGAGAGGTTTATTAACTACTTAATATAGACAAGTAATTTCCAAAAATGCTGATAGGAGTTTGGCATCACATTTAAACAATCCTCCCAGGTTTCAAGTGCTAGAAATATGAAAAAATGTTTATTTAATATAGTTACAATTTCCACACTGTACCTCTGTTTCTGCTGCATGGGTTGTTGTCTCATAGCCATATATTGCATGTCCTCTTGTAGCCGATTAAGAGGAGAATCTGGCTTGACACGAATCCCATAGTAATGATATTTGGAGTTCCCCCTTTACGAAAGAATAAGAATTAATGGGAAAAGGTTGATCAAACAAAAATTATTTGTCAGACTGTTTTTTTTCTTTAAAGTCTTACAATTTACCTCTAATGGAAAATAGGGTGCAGAAATTGGACCTGATTCTCCTCTCCAATTTCTCCTCCTGATTCACCAATTTTATACTTGTATAATACCATTGGGTTCATAAGATCACCTCCTCTCCCTTACATCAGTGTAAACCAGGAGTATCAGGCCCAATAAATGCCCCTTAAATTGACTCATATGCAGAGACAATAATCAATACTATCCGGATCCAAAAGATCCATAATAAATCTGTCGGAAAAAACCTTGACAAAGTAAATTTGGTAATCTAAAGTTTCAACTAAACTTCAATGTCAGTGATCTCAAGAAACTTGATCTAATGGTCTTTGTTTTAATTATATATATATATATATCTCACACACACACACACACACAGTGGCGAGCTGGAACCTGTTCGCACCAGTTCACGCGAACCGGTTGTTAAAGGGGTGGGCAAACTCTGGCCCGCGGGACCATCCTGTTGGCCCGCCTGAGCTCCCGGCCGGGGAGGCTCTCCCTGCCCCTCCCCCGCCTTCCCCCCTCTTGCAGAAACTGGCGGCAGCACTCTGGACCCCTCCTGGGCAGCTCAGCAGCTCCTGCCGCTTTGAGTGGCATGGTAAGGGGGTGGGGCTGCGAGCTCCAGCGAGCCACGCAGCATCCATACACACTGCCCTGAGCAGCATGGTAAGGGGACCGGGCCGGGGCTGGGAGGAGGAGTTGGATAAGGAGCAGGAAACGGTTGGAGGGGGCAGAGGTTCTGGGGGGGGCGGTCAGGGGATGGGGAACGGGGGGTGGTGGTGGTTGGGTAGGCGTGGGAGTTCCGGGGGTCTGTCGGGGTGGTGATGGATGGGGTCGGGGCAGTCAGGGGACAGGGAGCGGGGCCCTGGGTGGCAGTTAGGGTGGGGCGTCTCGGGCTTGTACTCACCGGGCAGCGCTTAATAACCGGTTCCCTACCGGGTCGTCGTCGGCACTTCGGGGGCGGGTCGTTCACTCACTCTGGGTCTTCAGTGGCACTGAAGGACCCGCTGCCAAAATGCCGCCAAAACGGAGCGAGTGAAGGACCCGCCGCCGAAGTGCCGCCAAAGACCCAGTAGGGAACCGGTTATTAACATTCTGGCAGCTCATCACTGTATATATATATATAGTAAAACTTTTAAGCATAACATGATATTTTTACAGAGACTTGAAATCACATAATTTTTGAAACAGAACAAAAATAGGAAAACATATTGTTCATGTGAATAAAACAACAGTGAAATCCTGTCATTACTGATTTTGAAAAATATTTTATAAGCCATTATTTGTATTCTTCAACAATATATCTTTCAGATGGTAAGGCTTAAGTTATAAATCAGAACTTTGTGAAAAACTGCCATTGCTGACAGGAAGAGAAAAAAATGCTGTGGAAATGGGGAATTTCTACCTGAAGCAAATTCACAATTTTGGACAGAAACAGAACAATTATATAGTTAATATTAGTTTGCAAATACTGATGAAAATATCAGTTTTTCCATATGCGAATGTTAGTAAAGAGAATATCAGTACTTGTACTTTTGCATAGCACTAAATATAGTAAGTTCACTATCAGTGTTCTTTCAGTTTTCTTCCTTCCAGAGACAAAAGCAAGGACTTTTTAAAGTTTCAGTAGACCTTTACCATATAGTGCCAGATCTTTGAGTGCAGCCATAACACAGAGTGCAAGGCAGCAGATGGTGTGCTAAGATAACTTACAGCTTGTCATAAACATATAGCTAAGGGTAGCATAAAATCCCTCCTTTATCTGTAAAGGGTTAAGAAGCTCAGATAACCTAGTTGGCACCTGACCAAAAGGACCAATAAGGGGAGAAGATACTTTCAAATCTGTGGGGGAAGGTTGTTTGTTTTGTCTCCTTGTGTGTTCTCTCTGGGTCAGCGAGGAACCAGGGCAGGGAAAATACATCTCCCTAAGCCATATCTGAACTAAGCATCCAATATTACAGAAATAGTAAGTAATAGCAAGGAAATGCGTTAGATTATCTTTTGTTTTAGCTTGTGAATTTTCCCTGTGCTAAGAGGGAGGTTTATCCCTGTTTTTGTAACTTTAAAGTTTTGCCTAGAGGGGAAATCCTCTGTGTTTTGAATCTGACTATCCTGTAAATTACCTTCCATCCTGATTTTACAGAGGTGCTTCTTTTACTTTTTCTTTATAATAAAGTTCTGTTTTTTAAGAATCTGATTGGGTTTTTAGTGTCCTAAAAACCCAAGGGTCTGTTCTGTGCTCACCTGGCTTACCCTCAAGCCTCCCCAGGAAAGGGGGTGAAGGGGCTTTGGGGGATATTTTGGGGAAACAGGAACTCCAAGTGATTCTTTTCCTGAATCTTTATCTAACTCACTTGGTGGTGTCAGCAGTACTCATCCAAGGACAAGGAAGGATTTGTGCCTTGGGGAAGTTTTTAACCTAAGCTGGTAGAAATAAGCTTAGGGGGTCTTTCATGCGGGTCCCCATATCTGTACCCCAGAGTTCAGAGTGGGGAGGGAACCCTGACAAAGAACCCCTTTGTACTGCCCTCATCTTGGTGTTGCTTTATAGATGGCTGTTTCAGCTTTAGGTGTCTTCTAACTTTTGTTGGCTTTCAATGGCAACTGGGGATGAAAAAAACATCTGAGGATAATTGTTGTGTAGGAAATGTCCCAGTCACACCTCCTTTTCTGCAGTCATACCCGCTCATTCCTGCTATGCCAGTAATAAAGAGTTTGTGTGGCATATGCATTCCTATTTTGGCATTGCACCACTATAACAAAGTTTCTGTTACCCTGACATTAGATTAGCTAGGGTTATATGCACTTTTGTTGGCTGAAAACTTTGGTCATCTCCTAGGAAAATATTGCAAGAATTTAGTGTCCTGAGCAAGACTCCACATACTGGATGACCTCCCTCCACTTGAAGAAGGACACATAGTGCTACATTAGAAGCCTTGTTTTAAAGAATTTAAGTAGTAAATTGAAGCTATTAATGTTTTTAAAGTGATTGCAGGGGGTTCTTCTTTTCATGGAGGATATGAAATAGCAGCTAATGAAGAATAGTGGGCAGGATCTATGACCTCACCACCCTTCTGAAGTGATGGCATTGTGTATCTAATACTGTCAGAGCTAAGAAGTATTAGCTCTCTGCTGCTTGGTTTATACAGCTCTTTAGTTTTATATAAGATCTATGAAATCAAAGAGACACTTTGCTGTGCCTACTGTGGCAATTCCTGAAATTTGTAAGAATTTACCAAATATTTCAGTGACGTCCTTATAGCAGTATCTATTGAACTATATACAATGGAAAAAAGCCCATGTGTATGGATTCTACAATATCCTAAAGGCTGTGTGCTGTTAAAACTGAACTGGCAGGGCTTACCCGGAGCTGCTGAAAGTTACAAATTTTCTAACAATCCTGATGAAGGCTGCAAAATGCTGTCCCTGTTTCTATGGAAATAGATTATAAACAGGTAAAAAGGGGCTTTAAAATAATCAGTAAATCATCATGGACCAGGCTGTGATACCTGTACTGATGATGAATAGTACCTTATACCATGTGTAGTCCAACTGACTTCAATTGGACTATGTGTGAAGTAACATATTACTCAGGATGAGTAAGTGTGTCATAATCTGTTCCTGGACATGTGTAAGCTCAATGTACTTGATTATACCCATGCACACACACACACTAGTGCACATGTACACACACTTATGCATTTAAAATTACCTGATATACAGTAACGCAAACAGGAGCAACCCGTAATCAAATGTTGTTAGAACTTTTGCAGCGTTCAGTGGCTTAGGTTGAGCAAGGCTAACAATATTAAAGGCACCAATGCTCCTAGAGGCTTCGGGCTTGTCAGTCTGTAATAATTTTGGTCCCAGACTTCACACTTTTTAAGCACACATGAACCCCTGCACCTGTATGGAGCCCTACTGCCTCCAATAGGGCTGAGCACAGAGGCAGTAGTCTGCCCGTGTATAGTCAAATGCAGGATTGGGGCCTTTGTAGAAAAACATTCTAAGTACAAACAACATTTTAATGTGTTTTTAAACCTATGGAACTAGTGTTTTTCTCCTTATTAAAAAAAAAAGGATAACATTTTTTGGCCCATATTGGGGCTTATAAGACTGGATACAAACTGATGGATGAAATAAGATTTCAGAACGCTTAAGAAAATAATGATCAACAGCTGGACATGGTCAATATCTTAGCATGACACGATGATAATCTACCCTAAATGACCAACACAACTGCCCCTACACATTCTCTTCTTTCACTCTAACTGCCACCTGTGACCTACAAAACAACAATGGTAGACACTACAGCATAGAGGTGGAGAGCTCTTTCTGATGCAGCTGATAGTAGACATCTCTGTATGACTATGGCTAAAGCTAAGAAACTCTCATCAGTGACTGGACAACATAGTTATGACCAGACAAAACTGTTCTGTGCAGCAGTAATTCAAATGCTCCCTCTCAGTTAACGTTTTGAGCATAGCTTGGCACAAGGAGTTTACCATCTGTATTTTACAGACAAAAGTGACAATAGTGCACCAGTGAGAGGCATCCACTAGATCAGTAGCAAAATATAAATGAGACAAATGGATGTGCTGGGAAGATGTAGAGTGCAATGGACAAAATGGACCAGGCTCCTCATGGCTAGTAAAATCCAGTTATCCTTAAATAAGTTGCAGTTATGTCTTTCCTCAAGAAACTGCCACCTCACAACAGTGCCAATTACTACCTTATCTTGAACCCTTTTAATGGTGGAGATGATTTAAGATTATTAGATGATTGTAGTGATATATGGATTTTTTTTTAATTTCCCAAATTATTTTCAATTTTCTTTTAAGACTGGGTGTGGTGTAGAAAATACTTGATTGACAAACTCCTTTTGGTAATAGGGAAAAAAGGTCTGGTGTATGTGAAAGTTTTATTAGCTCTGTCAGCAGCCTTTGATACCACTGACAACATGCTGCTGCTGTCCTGGTATCTGGAAGGACTGGACAAGGAAACAAGAAATGGAAAAAATCTTGAACTATTCAGCTCTGTGGAACTTGCTAATAACATGTGTAAGTGTGCATCTGTATACATTTAAAAGATTTAAACACATTTTCTGTTGGTCTTGCTCAATACACTATTTTCAAATTCTCATTTATTGGTTTAATCAAAATTATTTCTTTTTTCAAAGCAAATAATGGACAAGTTTCAAATTTCAAAACTCACCAATTTTGTTAGCTCCCCGTTTAAAAAAAGACCGTGATTAGAAATCTTTGTTCCCTTACTCTCCTTTAACTCAAACATGGCTAAAGGGTCCCTAAAGGCTCACATTTACAAAAAAATTAATAATAAATATTTTTCCTTCAGACAGAACAAGCATGGAACCAGGGCTTTGGAGCGGAGCCCGGAGCTGGAGCGCGGAGCAGCTCCGGAGCAGTGGAGCTGCGGGTTTTTGCCTGGAGCTGGAGCAGAGCCGGAGCACAGCTCCGAAGCCCTGCATGGAACATTTCAGCCTAAGAGGTAAGTGTTTGGAAAAGCTGTGAATGAGTGAATGGAATCTACTATAAGGCTTTAACTGTAGCCCACTACACTGGGTAAACATAGGGGGAAAAAACTCCTCTATTTTTACACTTAGTGTCCCTCATATTACTTATCATACCATACTGAAATATCACTGCATGAAATAAAAACAGTAACGACAATTTATAAATAAGGAATTGAAGCTATTTTGTAATTAAGCTGTAGAATCATGGCAGCATTAAATAACAGTCCCTTATAACAAACAAAAAAAATCAGTTGATAAAAATATTCATCTACATTAAAATCACTCATTTATTTTTATATGGAAAGGCAGAACACCCCTATTACCGCATATGTAATGATCAATCATCACTTTGTGCTCAGCATATACTTAAATTAAGTATTGGATGAAAAATAAACAAATATAATTAGATTTTTAACTCATAAGAAATATAGTAATTATTCTCCATCTCATGCATAGTTTCCAACCGACAGCCTATATTATATTTGTATTGCTATAAATCTGTTGTGTATGTTTCAGAATTAATAAGTGATTTCAGGACAAGGAGAAATGTAATGGGTTTTTGTAACAACTTGACACAGTTTGACATTACATGAGAAATTGATAGACAAACATTTTAACATTTAAGTAATGTTTTCTTTCAGCTTGTTTAGTGTATCATGTACAAGGTTCATGATCACAATGATCACTACACTCTCTCTATGCTATAATCTAAGATCTGATTGTTTTACACAGACCTGGTTCCTAGTCTCCTGGTCCGTAGCCCCATGAAAATTGACCTTATGAGTTTTCCAAAGGAGGCAGCATTGACTGGGTCCAACTTGTGCTCCTGACAGTGTCGTAAGTAATGATTATAAAGCGTACTTCTGGGGAGACTGACTCCTTCTGCTGTTTCATAGTTGTCTAAGAGCCACTGGAGCTATTTCAAATAGGAGACAGTGAAGAAAAGTAAATTCAGATAATTTCACAATAAACATTTTAGGCTATCATTAACATAGCTGTACAATTCAAAGCTTCTTAATACATTTTGAGATTGCTCTTAACGTCTATTCAATGGTGACTTTTTTCTTCAAATGAAGGCAGTTCTCTTTAGAGGGGTTAGATATGCGATGGTGTCTTTGAGTCTTTCAAAAACACATGGAAATAGCAGAACTCATAACACTTGTGACCTCAGATAGTCCCCATTTCTTAAAGTATTCAAGAGTCCAGTACCACACATTAATTTTCTGTACATTGATCTAGGCTTTGGAGACAAATTGTTAATACTTCAGGGAATTTAACCAATCATAAATGTATTTACATAACCATAGAAAAGAAACTGCTTGTTGGACTGATGGAGAGTCATTTAATCCATCTGCATTATTAGACTATTGTATTGCAGAGAGTTGTTTCGCTTCCCCAGACACTCAGATCAGTTACACTATTTAATTGAACAAGATTTATTCTTTTGTTTTTTAACCGTAAATAAAGAAACAAAAAACAAACACAAGGCAAGGAGCAATCTAGGTGGTGCTAAAATGAACTGATACAACTATTAAAGATTATGGGCCCAATTCTGCTTCCACTGAAGCCAAAAGGAATTTTGTCATTAACTTAAGTGGGAATAGGACTGAATCCCGTGAAAACTCTCTCTCTCTCTAGGTCATTTCATTTAGAACTTTGGTGGGTAATTTTGGAAGCTGGCAGAAAAACACTTACATGCTGAGTACTTCAGTGGCTCTATAGTAAGAGGCACAACTGGTATCTTTTTGGGAATACTCACAACATATCTAATATAAACTGCCACTAACAGATGAGAAAACAAACCAAAAAAAGGCACTTTAGCAAGGTTGATTGCTTGTGTCAGTTTCACTCCGATCCTCCCTCCAGCTTTAACTGAGTAGAAAAATGACAGCGTAAAATAAGAGTATTTTTATATGATGGTTATACTTAAATTGTGTGAAAGTCTGTGGTTTTATTTTTCTAGGGGTTCTGATAATCTTTCATTTGGCTTACCATACCATGGATTTGTATCCCCCAGAATTTTCCTTTGAGTTTTGGGTTTGAATGACCCCAAAAATGTAAACAGGAAATCAGTTGAAATTGCCAAGTTTCACCAGTTTTGATGTCAAAGCCAAGAGCATGATTTCAGTGTGAATCTTTAAATCAGTCAGGTTCATAGATTTTACCAAAAATCTGGTCTTAGTTTTGAGTTTCCAATGAAACTCCAAACCAGGCATGTTTAAAATGATTTCAACCAATGCAACACAATTTTGTTCTGATGCATTAGTTCTCAACAGAAATGTGTAACAAATTTTAATGTAAAATATCAAGGCAAAGCATGAGTAAAATATATGTTAACAACAGCAAAAAGATCAGTTTACTTGATAATACTGTAGTCTGTTGCATTCATTTACTAATAAAGAGTGGTACCACAAACTTTTCAATGATAGGGAAGAGAAAACTTTTGCTAATGTTGAACATAATTAATCATTTAAGACACAGATCTTAAATATTTTAATGTGAAAAAATGTAATTCTGTACTCCTAAAATAGAACGTTCTTAGCTCCTGCCCCCACTCTACAGTCTCTCTCACATTAGTATTCACTAAAATCTAGAGGTATAATTAATGTACTGGACTCTCACCTCTGTTTCAATCAGAGTCATGTGCACTTTGCCAAGTGCAACGAGAACAACAATTCACCCAAGACCTTTTAGAGGCTATCTTCATGTTCTCCTTTTGCATGGAGAACAAAATAGAAAACAAAATTGTAATTCTTTAGTTTATGTTCTATATGAGCTGAGATGGTTTCTATTGTTTTAACTTGCTAGCAGGTAATATGGATGACAGGTAGACAAATACCCACAAGAAGAAATGTCTCTGTGTTTGACTTACTTAAATGGTTCCACGATATAGAGCTATTAGCTAGACTTTTAGACAATTTTGCACTTTAAATAGAATGTAATAAAACAGAGCAGTTTATCATCCTTATTTCAGCTGGTAGATCTAAAATCATTATTTTAAAAAAATACTGAGTCATAGTGTTCACAAATGTATTTTAAATTGGTTGCTTACCATTCTGATATAAAGGCTATGAAAAAATATCGCTGGAAACTTTAACCTTGACCTTGGTTTATTTAAAAAAAAAACTATTTATTTCACTAATTAAGTGACATAAGCATATCTGAGGCTAGAAACCAAGATAATTACATCTTTCAACCTTTGCATTTAATCTCTGTTAATCAGGATAGATTAAGAAGGGTGAACTATTCTTATTTTTCCCTAAGGGAAATACTGATTGACAAAAAAAAAAAAAATGCATTTCCCAATTAACTTCTAAATGTAACATTTGGGATTTTTTTTCCAGATGGATTATAACCTATTAGGATTCATTTTAAGTGCACTTTACTAATGATCTGAATTCTTGACAGATGTTATTTCAACTATAACTTGCATTAGCCAATGTTGGCAGAGCATAATCCAAGATAAGTATAAAACAAGGATTTTTGCTCTAGGGTGGATGTATTTCAGTGGCAAAAGGCATCAAGTGATTATTTGCTAGATTGCAGCCTGGAATTTATTTGCTAGATTGCTGGAAAGAAGAGTGCCCAAGGCTGTATATAATTTTAAAAGGAAAATAATCTACAAACATTATACAGCTATTGTAAACATATTTCTTCAATGCAGAATGAGAATTCTACATCTGAGCTGTTCAGGATTTGAATACTAGCTTGTTGACTAATAGTATTAGTAACATTTAAGGATGGATAAGTATGAAGTGTTTACACAGTAAAAACTGGCAAATTGATTCTGGCTTCACTAAAACTCCGATGTTTATACAACATTAGATTATAAATTGATTAGTCAAGTCAACCTCATGCACAAAGAAATCAGAAAAAGAAAAAAGTAGAGGAGAAATGAAAAACTCACAAAAACGAGCAAGCATCAATAAAGGCAACCACACTCCAGGACGGCTAACAATGGAGGTATAGTACCACAGAAAGCCAAATCAGCAGGCTATTATTTTTGAGAGTTTAAGATTTTGTCATTGATGAATAGAACATTTGTAATGTAAAAGGTAATATTAATGAAATTCACAGCTTTTCAGGCCTGATCCAAAGCCCATTTATATCAAAAGTGTCTCTACTTTGACTTAATGCCCTTTGGCTCAGACCTCTGGAAATCAAAATGAAGGGTAGTTTGAGAAATAGGGAGAAAACAAACAAACATATTAAATTTCTTCCATGTTACACTAATTTGAGACAGGAGTCAAAACAAATAGAGTTTTAAAAATAGGCAAACTATAAAATAAATTCAACCGTTTTCTGTCAACTTCTTACTTGGGTGATTGGGGCTGTCAAGACTATCATGTCAAATAAATATGTTTGTGTCTCCAATACAAAATCAAAGACATAGCCCTAGCCTAATTACATACTGGTCTTTTATTGAAATTTGAAATAATACCCAAATTAAAGGAACAAAAGAAAAAAGTAGTGACATGTTGTGTAATGGGTACATGTAAATATTATTAGCAGAAAGAAATTTGTAAATAGTGCATATAACTATATACGTCTATATGTAAATAATGGAATAAAGTTACCCAAGGTAAACAGCCTATCATCTAGCTCTTGTTAGATATGATGTTAAGATATGATGTGCTTCCATATGGGACTCAAGACAAAGTAACAGCTCTCCATATCTCCAGTTTTAACATGCATTGGCCCGTTGCCAAGGTTATGATCTCTTCAGCATGGTATCTAATTAACCCCGATAATGCAATTTCTAGGCAGCCTTCTATCTTCAAAACAACATTTCTTTTTAACATCCAAGATAGAATTTAAAAGTCTTAATCACATTTACGCTATTCAATCTCTCTCCCCACAATTTTAGCAGTTTCTAAAGTTGTTTTCTCTTCCAGGTGTTTTAGAATCAATCCTCTACTGCTTCTTGCCATCATGAGGGGAAACTTTCACACAAAGCTATTGGTTTTTCAGCTTCAGATTATGGAACTTTTTCAGAACAAAATATATAATTGCTTTGGTTTTATTTCTAAATCATTGTCTACCATCATAAAATCAATAGATATTACAAAAATACTTTTGAAATTGAGATTTAGTTTACTATTCTCCATTTTTGTGGTAGAGAATACAAAAGTGTGATCACAGCATAGAATCAGTTTTGATTAGTAGCCTTAATATGTGCTAAGGAGTGAACATATACAAATGCCAAATAATATAATTTAAATAAAGCAACTTTTACCAGCTGGAAAGACATTTCAGGAAAAACTTGGGCTGGCAATTCATTTTATAATATATACAGTAAATTAGAGATTAAGCTTTGGGCCCTTTTCTCCCTCTATACAAAAGTTACATTTAATATCTTTACCACTATATTTTAAAATGCTGCTTTTATACAGACAACCACTTTAGGCAAAAGTTATTCTTACTGAAAATTCTTATTTTTAGGATTTGTAAATTCAGACCAAATAAAGAGGCACAAAGAGCAACAGATATCTCCAGCTTTCAGAGTAATCAATTGTTTTCATTTTTTCAGCCCATGGAGGCAACAACTTGTATAAGTCATTTAACAGAAATACCAACACCACTTTATGGACCTTCAGCATTCTTTTGTCATTTTCAGTAAACTCATTATTCAGAATAAAGTAATGTGATTCTCTAAAATAATCCAAAAGATATTACATACTCATGCTGCATGCTCCACCCCCCAAAAATTATTATACAGTGCACAGATTCTTTTTAGTAGCCAATTTTATCTTAAATATCACACACACACCCCTCCCCCCCCGGATAATTAAGAATTTTTCAATGATTATTTTCACAATTACATTATTGTGAAACTCAGAATGTGGTAACACCTGGGGACATAATACAGAACGTAGGAAACGATGAACTCAATAATATATATGTATTTAGTGACATTTCACCTGACAAAACATAGCCATGGAAGATGCTGTATAAGATTACAAGTGACTGAGAAGGGAAGATTAAGAGGCAAAAAAAAAAAAAAAAAAGGCAAAAAAAAAAAAAAAGCATTTAGAGATAAATTAAGCATGCAGACAAAGCAGGAGATTAGTTTACATGAAGAAGAGGCAACTTACATGGCTGTTGAGAAGAGAGCTTCTGTGAGTGGACAGACCATCAGACTTTTGCAGTGTCTCAATCGCCATTTCAATCTGATAATAGATGTCATTAAAAAAAGGGCTCAAGACAAGATAGTAATAAAAGGCTGACCAGAGAAACTTTGATAGATTGCTTAAAGTTCAACAGTAATTGCTTAAACTTCAGTCCAGGTTATTGAACAAATTCTATTAACTGCCTGATTCTGGAGTCCCTGTGAAAGCAAAACTCCCAGTAACTTTGGGAGGCATTTTGCTTTTATACATACTGAAGGATCAGGCCCTCAGAAAATCCAATTCACCCTCCTCTCTGCTCAAGAAATAAAACAAGCACAAAATTTATTTCTAAATCACAATGCAAATATCAAAAAACTCTGAACATTCAGTATCTTTAACCAAACGCAGGGGGTGGGGAGGAAAATACAACCCACACACAGGGTCTTGAAGATTTTTTGCCAAGGATATGAGAAAACCCCTTGCATAGTTTGAAGACAGAGATATGAACTAAAGGCAACATTTTTTCTCTTTCTGCACCCAAACACCTAGAGTGAACTCCTAGACGCTCTGAATTGAATGGGAGTTTTGCCATTAGCTTCCATGGAGGCCGGATTTTACTCTTCTTCCCTCACATAGCATTTTTTACTCATCCAAAGATCTCAGTAAAGTTGATGGAAGTTTTGGGTGTGCACATAGTGCAGGTTTCAGCCCTGAGAAAAATATTCTAATTTATTCAGAATAATTTTACCTTTTAAGATGAAAATTATTATTATATATAACCCCTTAAATATACAGCAGTATTATTCCTAATGCAAATGTGTGAAGACCCCCGCCCAGTCTTTTTTTCATAACTTTGGATCTTAATGTCACTTTTGGCTGCTTCCGTAGTAGTGTTATTGAGTAAAATTACAGAGTAATTGTAGTTCTGCATTAAGTGTAACTGTGGCTATGGCAGAGAAAAAACATTGGAAATGACAGAGGCAATGAGATGTAAAATAGAAAAGCTTTCATGGAAACACCTTCCCACACCCACACCCTTTTTTAGAGTTCAGTAAGAGGACAGATAATCATGTTCACTCAGTGTGCAGTAGAAATAGCAAGAAATTAATTAGCCTTGTAAAATTGAAAAAACAAAAACATGACATATTCAAAACTAAGTTTAAAGACACTTCTCTTTTTCCCAAAAGGCAATTTTTATTGAGCCTCCCCCACATTGCCTTACGTATTACAATACTACCCACAGATTTTCCAGTCTAATTTACAAGCAATAGCAGAGTTCATCAATACACATAAGAACTGAAATAGAAAAGATTTCAGATGTCATGTATTAGACTTTACTAGCACACATGCAAAATTAACTTCTCCCTTGTTACAGTAATAATTTTATTGCAACATTAATTAAAAAGGTACTTTTCTTAATCTTTAACATTACATTTCTCTTTCAGACAGTTGTTTTTGTTTTAGAAATGCAAGCCCTTTTTATTCAGGTAAAGTGTTGAAACTAATGTCTGATTACAAAGCAAATGACGTAATTTTGACAAGGCTAAAGAACAAAAAAAAAATTGCTAAATTATGATAATCTAGTCTGCCCTCCTACATAACACAGGTCATAGAGTTTCACCACATAATTCCTGCATCAAGCCTGTGACTTCTGGTTGAGTTAGAGTATTTCATAGATATGTAGATTCCAAGGCCAGAAGGGACCATTGTGATCATCTAGTCTGACCTCCAGTATAACAGAGGCCACATAGCTTCCCTAAAATAATTCCTAGAGCAGATCTTTTAGAAAAACATCCACTCTTGATTGCAAAATGATCTATTATGGAGAATCCATCATGACACTTGGTAAGTTGTTCAAATGTTTAATTGCTCTCACTGTTAAACATGTACGTCTTATTTCCAGTCTGAATTTGTCTAGTTTTAACTTCCAGTCATTGGCTCTTGTTAAACTTTTCTCTGATAGATTGAAGAGCCCATTATTAAATATTTATTCCCAATGTAGGTAATTATAGATTGTAATTAAGTCACTCCTTAACCTTCTCCATGTTAAAATAAACAGATTGAGTTCCTTGAACCTATCATTATAAGGCATATTTTCTAACCTTTTAATCATTCTCGTGACTCTTCTCTGAACCCTCTCCTTTATCAACATACTTCTTGAATTGTGGACAACAGAACTAGATGTAGTTTTCCAGCAGCAGTCGCACCAGTGCCAAAAGACAGAGGTAAAATAATCTCGCTACTCCTACTCGAGATGCCCTTTGTTTAAATGTCTAAGGATTGTATTAGCCCTTTTGGTCATAGCATCGCATTGGGAGCTCATGTTCAGCTAATTTTACATCATGACCCCAAATCTTTTTCAGAGTCGCTGCTTCCCAGGAAAAAGTCCCCCATCCTTTAAGTATGGCTGACATTCTTTGTTCCTAGATGTATACATTTACATTTAGCCATATTAAAATGCAGTTTGCTTGGGCCCAATGTACCAAGCCATCCAGATTTCTCTGCATCACTGACCTGTCCTCTTAATTATTTATCACTCCCACTATTTTTGTGTCATCAGCAAACTTTATCAATGATGATTTTATGTTTTCTTCCAGGTCATTAATAAAAATGTTAAATAGCGGAGGGCCGAGAATCGATCCCTGCGAGATGCCACCAGAAACACACCCATTTGATGATTACATTGTCAGACCTATCAGTTAGCACAGCATTAGCTTTCGTCTAGTACTTCCCTGGTGTTCCAAGACTTATTGAAAATCAACATTAACGATCCAGTAAGCTCCTCAGCTAGCTCTTTTAAAACTCTTGGATGCAAGTTATCTGAATCTGCTGATTTTAAAATGTCTAACTTCAGTAGCTGCTGTTTAATATCCTCTTGAGATACTAATGGAATGGATGCGACATCATCATCTGTTTTTTCCCCCAAATACAGAACAAATATTTATTGAACACTTTTGCCTTTTCTGCATCATTATTGATATTTGGTAATTCTACCATTTCCACTGGACCAATACCATTGTTAGGATTCTTTTTGTTCCTAATATACTTTTTAAAAATTCCTTCTTGCTGTTCTTAACGCTGCTGTCCATAAATTTCTCCGTATGTCCCTTTGCTTCCCTTATCAATTTTCTATAATTCCTAGCTTATGATTTATATTCATTACTAATAATTTCCCCTTTCTTCCATTTGTTATATTTAAAAAAAAAAAATTATAGCTGCTTTCACACCCCTTCTAAACCAGGCTGGGATTTTTTAATCAATATGGTCTTCTTCCTTGATTCTGGCTTTTGGGGGTATGTAGTAAAGTGTTCTTAAAGAATTACCAATCATCATTCAAATTTTTCTGATTAAATTATTCCTCCCAGCTGATCTGGCTCATAATTTTGTTTATCTTTGTGAAGTTGTCTCCTTTAAAGCATGAAATATACATCAACGGTTCTTTGAAAAGGAAGTGGTGCCAGTGAGGTGAGTTAGGCTGACAGGCTGACCTGGGATCAAAGAGGCCTGAAGCAGCAGTGATCATCTCAAGAGAGAATAGCCCCGACTTGAACAGACAGAAGAATTAAACTTGAGAGATTCTCCACAGCAGTAGTGGAGCCTTTAACAGATTATAATGAATTTTGCTAATGCAGACAAAAAAGAAATGGAAGATGGAGAGAGGAATTATTCTAAGCATGGTAGACCAAAAGCCTTTTAAATATATCCTCAAAAGAAATACAAATTATAAAAATAAATTAAAAAATCTTCTCTGAAGAAAATTATCTCTGGAGTCTTCTCTGAGTGTCAACTTTAAATAAAATACAAATAAGCCTTAAAAACCTATTTTTCTTAAAATTGCTCAATTCAATTAAAAAAATAAGCAGAATCAATCACAATCAAAAGTTTATAATTGCTACTAGTCAGAAAACCTGGTGCAACTGAACATCCTTAATATGTCTGAAACCACACAAGGATATACATATTGACTGATTAATATAAACTTTGTTATATTATCATTTTTATATAAGGTATGTACATAACATATTAGGCATTGGTGAATATCCGGAAAGTTTGGGGTTTAGATAAGCATCTAGAAAGTTAAGGTTTTTATCCAAAACCCATTCAAACTTTTAGCCTCAACTCTCCAAACCAGACAACTTTCCCCTATAGGCCTAGGCTTCCCACCTGACATAATCCAGTCTTCTGGGAAGAGGACTGGCGGCTTTCTACTCTCCTTTACTGGCATCTTAAAAGGGTGGCCAACTCATCACTCCCCCCCCCCCCAAAATCCTCCATTAAGCCATCCATTGAGTGTGCCAGTTCTTTCTCTCCCTTCTTCTGCAGAAAGGCTCTAAACTCTCCATTGGGTTTCACTGCTGTTGATTTTTTCACAGTTTGTGGCTAATATATCTAAGAGTACACTACACTCAGAAACACAAATCTTCAAGCTCTCACAGGGATCTGGCTCTGTGCATGCCTCAATCCCAAAGGGAAATGTCATACAATCATAGAATATCAGGGTTGGAAGGGACCTCAGGAGGTCATCTAGTCCAACCTCCTGGACCAATACCCAACTAAATCATCCCAGCCGGGGCTTTGTCAAGCCTGGCCTTAAAAACCTCTAAGGAAGGAGATTCCACCACCTCCCTAGATAACCCATTCCAGTGCTTCACCACCCTCCTAGTGAAAAAGTTTTTCCTAATATCCAACCTAAACCTCCCCAACTGCAACTTGAGACCATTACTCCTTGTTCTGTCATCTGGTACCACTGAGAACAGTCTAGCTCCATCCTCTTTGGAACCCCCTTTCAGGTAGTTGAAAGCAGCTATCAAATCCCCCCTCATTCTTCTCTTCTGCAGACTAAACAATCCCAGTTCCCTCAGCCTCTCCTCATAAGTCATGTGCTCAAGCCCCCTAATCAGTTTTGTTGCCCTCTGCTGGACTCTTTCCAATTTTTCCACATCCTTCTTGTAGTGTGGAGCCCAAAACTGGACAGTACTCCAGATGAGGCCTCA